TTATTGTTATTGCAAAAATATTTTAAGTTTTATATTGAATGAAAAAGTGTGCGGATACTTTTGTCCACCCTCTGTATATCTAAATCTGATTTCCTTAAAACATTTTCAGAAATTATTGTTCTTTTACAAAATTACACAAGTTACTTTAAACGAAATAGAACCAAGATATCAAGCTATAGTGAACAGATATAAGTAGGAGAAAGAATAGCGGGGTTATAAGGAATTCTTGTACATTCATTCAAAGCTTTTAAAATCAAGGTTAAAGCACAGGGGTCTTTTCCTTGCTGATCTAGTACTGATCTTTGTTACATAAGTGAACGCCTAGTTCATAAGATATTTAAAGAATTAGAGGAGAATTATTTATAATTTTCTGAATACTTATATTTAAGGTCCTCGTGCAGACCGTTAATATGCAAAAAAAAAAATGGAATAAAGAGTTCCCATTAAATATCGACAGAGACTTGCTGAACTTCTGCGATTCAACGTTATCAGGGTTGGGAATAATTATGACGAAATTAGCAGAACTAGAGAGTGTTAGCATTATATTATACGTATTTTATGATTTTGACTATTTCTCTAAAATTCTAAAGATGAAATCGACAACTTCTCTCAAGAAAAGTTCCTCCATTTGATCATAATCAAAAGCAATGTCGAAAGCAATTATAAGGTCTACATGGATAAACTGTATGGATATGTGTGTCGTGTTCAGCGTGACGAAATGTTAAAGATTCCAGACAATGAAGAGCAATTAGTTTTAGTTATTCTCATTGCAGCCTTAATGTCAAGGCATATATTTAATGATCCAAAGGTTTTAAATATAATGTGAATATATCTAACATTGGTATTATTTTTTTAATTTTATTACTTAAAGTATTAAAAGCTTTGATTAAGTACGTTATTTAAGTCAAAGAAGAAAACATTGACGAGATTCTTTTGTAATACTTAGGTTTTTTACTAAATCATACATTAATGCAATATTAGTATTTCCTGTCTTTAGGCGTGAGGTGTTTTAAATTCAAATCATTCTAGTTCATCGGAAAGACTATCCGACATTATTGGAACCTAAAAATAGTAAATTAGTATAGCAAATAGTTAATTTGAAACATTTAATAAAACAACTTCAGGCTTGTTATTTTCAATACATGTATGCTACAACTAGAGAGTGTGTACTGAATATTAACATTTATGCAAATATAAGTTTGAAAAATGTAAAAAATTCTTTATAAAAGATCAAAATACACTGAAATCACGATAGATTAAAGACTAAAATTTATAGTTAATTAAATTCAATAAATATATTTGTGTCCTTTTTTATTCTTTAAACAATAACGTTTTTCGCATAAATCTTATAATGAAGAAATATGCAAACCATCGTATTCATATCTGTTGTAATTTCTTTTAATAGCTTATATTGTGTCGAATCATGGATAAATGGACGTCCAGTACGTAAACTTTAAAGATTCCAGCCGAAACAAATCTTTAATGGAAGTGGCTGTAATTATTTGATAGCAGACAATATTTGTAGAATTAATTCATATCCAACCGTCCATCATCTCAAGAGTTGTATACCTACGGATGACGTTCTTAAAGAGCTTTAATTCCCTGAATATTTTTACATCTAGTATCTTGGATAGACAACTCGACTAAGAAATGGACTACCTAAGACAGAAAATTAGATATCTCACAATAATGGTCGATACTATCATGGCTTGTCCTACAATATCATACCCTGCAATAAACGAACAGTCACGGTTTTACATGCTAGGAATTTAAGCCTTAACCAACGGAGCCCCTAGATCCTTGAGACAGAAGATGACATGAAAAATCTTACAGCGGAAGTCCCTCTTAGAACCTAATTTTTTCTATGGCTGGGACATTTGATCAAAGCCCGGGTAAAAATGGATTTTTGCTAATTTCCCACCGAATCAAATGATGAATTAACCCATGGATTAATTCTTAAATTTCACAATGGTTATATCACATTAATAATATAAAGTAATCATACTTAGAATGCCAAATCAAATAATTTTTTTATATTAATAAATACTTTGCTAATTTCCTCTAGACGAAAATATCCTAGTGGTGATTTCACCTAAAGAAGTGTGTATTTCCACCTGGTAGCCATGCATAGCTTTTTTAATTTGGCTCCCGAAGGGCATAAATAAGTTAGCATAAAAAGTGTATTTCAATAATTTACAATTTGTTGCTATTTATAAAATCTTATAATGATTGTTTGTTTAATCTCAATAACGTATTAATAACGATTCTGCAAAAAATCAGTTTCCGCATTTTAGTTTATGTTGAAATGAATAGTTCTTAGTTTTAGTCGATTTTTTAGGTAATCATATATTTTGCAAAGTTGATGTAAGAACATACGCATACACAAAAAGTAAAGAATCTCTGTTAATTGGAAAATTTGATGAATAAGGCTTTGAGAATAAAAATTTCATTTATTTAGAGAGACAGTCAATCAAAGTACTTCAAATTGTTTAAATATAATTAATTTTTATATAAGTTAAAATCCTTAACATACCACGGTCACCCTTCTTACATTTGCACACATACACCTTAAACCTTCCTTTCTTCTTTTGCGATTTCGCTTTCGCATTTTTAAAATTATAAATTTTTAACTTTGTAATTCATTGAACACATACACCTTAAACCTTCCTTTCTTCCTTTGCGATTTCGCTTTCACATTTTTAAAATTATAAATTTTTAACTTTGTAATTTCGTTTATTTTAAATCCCGTTTTATTTTTATATTTTGTATTTGCGCAGTTTTAATTAATTATTGACATTGCGAAAGTGTAGAGCGCTGACGTTGAAGCAACACTAATTAATTGATATTATAAATAAATTTAGCGTCACAATTGCTTCATTTTTATTGAATAAAATCTTCTTACTTACAATAAAAAATTGTTTATAAATACATAAACGAATACAACAGTATATTACATTTTATCCTTTCATCATACTGATTCTAATTTATTAATTTATATTATATAATTATTTCAATTAGTGAATAAGTAAATAAAGACCATTTCAAAAACACAATACAAGAAAAAGAAAGATTATAAAAAACAAATGTTATTATAATTAATAATATTAATTAATTTCTAGTAAATATAGGTATAATACACGATTTACTTTATTCATAACGAATAATTTGACATATCATCCTACAGTACATTACTTGATTTTTGCAGATATCAAAATGTGAATGATTGTAATGAATCACTAACATAAGTAGTTGATGATGAAAGGTTTTCTTAAATTAAAGGTTAAACATTTAGTGAAATTAAAATTTAAACATTATAAAGTGAATATAACTTCTAAATATCCATACCCTTATTAACTTCATTATTTATTAATAGATTTTCTAATACTTCATAAACATATTCGATAGTGTGTCTCTTTTCAGGTTTGTCATTCCAACATTCATTATACAATTTATAATATTCATCAGGGGTATCTGGTACTTTTTCTTCTCTACTCCCAAACAATAATATTGCGGTAATTATCGTACAAATATCTTGATTCTCAAAAGGAGATTTACCACTTGATATTTCCCATAGTAAAACTCCCAAACTATATACATCAGAAAATTTGGTGTAAGGATCATGCTTGGTTTTACTGGCTCTTAAAATTTCAGGAGCAACGTAAGGAATGTTACCAAATAATTCATTATGTATGATGGTTGTAGTGTTCACACTTTTTGAATTGCCAAAGTCTGTGATCTTCGCTCTTCCTTGATGTATTACTATGTTTTTAGCATACTACAAGTTGAAGAAATCAATTAGGGAATCAATTAAATATTATGATAATTTAATAATAAATTACTTACAAGATCCCTATGTAAAATATTTTCTTTGTGCAAATAATGTAACCCGTTTGTGATATCCAAAGCCAATCTAAATTTCTTACTCCAGTCAAGATTTTTAAAATTCTTTGAAAGATACATTTTTAAATCTCCTTCATCAGCATATTCCATAACAATAGAATACACATCATTATCTACATGCGTGAAAAAATCTTATTATGTAAATTATAATAAGTTATGTTCATAATATGATTACCTTTGCTTACGCCTAAAACTCGAATGATATTTTCACAGGTATGCACCCTGCTTTGTATTTGTAATTCGTGTTTAAATGCTTCCCACAATTTATATTGAATATTTGACGAAACTATCAATTTTTTATAAACCACATAATTGTGAATATTAGACCAGTATGCTTTATATACTGATCCAAAATTTCCTGCTCCGATAGGTTTATGAAGACTAAATTCGGTCCATTCTATTGACTTGATAAATTTTTGTTGAATGGCATCTTCAATCCACCCTTTTGCCTTTTCTTCCAACTCATCATCAATAGGATCGGTAGAATTATACTTTGGAATCAAGTTCTTGGAAAGACCATTTTGATAATAATTAGAAACCAATTCATCCAGTTGTTTAAAAATATCGAAAAAATTTAAACGATGTTCTGGACTTTGATGCCAAGCTAAATAGAAATGATTGTAAAGTTTATAAAGATTTTACAGAAAATATTTAATATAAAAAAATAAGTATCAAATCATTTACCATTTTCAATAATTTGAAAATAATTTCTTTGAAGTTTATTACTTGTCGATTCGATATTTAAGGTTTCCCTATTATTACTTAAAACGTGATGTTTTATTTTATGCACATCCCAATCTTGATAGGGAATTTTTTCATAGGCAAGCTCCCATAACAACATCCCAAAACTGTATATTATTAAAATAAATCGTATTAATGAAAATGATGATACTCTTGAAAAAAAATAGAAAGTTCGTAATTACCTAAACATTTCACATTTGGCATCATATTGATATAAATTGAAACTTTCAATTTTTTCTGGAGCCATCCGGTTTATAATATCGTTCATATTTGGAATTGATAGGGGATTACTACCCATATAATATGAATATTCAAAATTTGTTATTTTGGGTTCACAATATGCTGACATCTAATATCATTTCATTTTCACGTTAAAAGTTAATAATAAAAAATATTATTAAAAAATAATTAAAATAAATTTAACTACCATAATATTGTCACATTGTAAATTATGATGGAGAATTTTATTTTCATGCATAAAATATATTCCACGACAAATATCGAGTGCTATTTGAATCTGCAAATTACATATACAAGTCGGTGAAAAACACGAGGGGAGGAGGTTTCTATTTTGCTGAAAGCAAGATGTTCATACCTTAATATTCCAGCTAATACTGTAATTGTCATATGCTTCCTTTAGGCTGCCCAATTCAGCCCATTCGCTGATCATTACAAAAGTGTCGTCAATTTGAGAGATACCGTGAAATTTTATAAAATTATGTGAGGAGTTTAGTACTTTCATAATTTTTATATGTTGATTTAAATGTTCTGCTTTAAGAGACGTTTCTTCGGTAGGCATGAATATTGGTACACAGGCTATTTCTAAAGCTTTATATAATTTTTTTATAACAAATGGTTTTTTATTTCCACGAATGTCTGATTTCTTATTTATTGGTTCTACAAGAGTTGTTGGTTCAATAAAGGTTGAATTAATAAATTCGGGGACTATTAATGATTGCTTCACGGGATCAACATTATGTTCAAATAGTTGACTTATCACGTCTTGAATTTCTCCGCTATTGTCGTGAGGTTCCGATAAAGCTCCGGTCACATCCGATAAATACTAATGTTTAAATAAATCTTACTTTAAAATTCAAATCATAATATTTATAATTACATCATTAAACGTACCTCTTGCATGTCCACACTATCTTCATTGAAGTTTTTTCTTTTTTGTTCGTATGCTTCATTCACGGTAATATCAAAATCCTTTACCAGATTATCAAATTCTGAAATCAATTTATCATATTTACTTTTAATGGGTTCGGCGAGGATAATCCTCTTTATTCGATATAGTTGTGATACGTCTTGGGTAAAATATTTTATATTCTCGATATTAATAAGTAGCCTTTGGAAAATGATATTATATGGAGTCATGATTTATTATTCGTCCCTCCCTTTGTACCTTTTGCACGTATTCGTTAAAAGGTAAAATGCGTTCTTTGAAACGATTACATACGTCTTTATATTGCGCTTTTTCACTAATATAAATAATGTCGTTTATTAATTCATCCCATCTATCAATGTCTTGTAAATTTGTCATCAGAGTTCCAGTTTCGACCTCATTCTCCTTTAAAAGAAAATCACAATCTTGAGGTTCTGACATATTAAAAAAGAAAATGTGTTTTACGATTTTTTTATTGATTGAAACCTGCCTGTAAAGAACCGATTCCTTTTATAAATCAATCTTGACTGCGGTCCGGTCAATTGTATTGGATAAACCATCATCAAAAATATTTGATCATTCCGTAACACTTTAAGCCACCGGAGATATTCACTCCGTTCCTTGTTGGTTTTGATTGTTGTTTTTCTTTCAAATTGTACAGTCGATCACTTTGGCGTAGTGCTCCGTAAGGGTCGGGTCGGGTCGGGTTTGAAGCATATTCGAACTCGAACCCGTTAATAATTACGGAACCCG